TAAATCCTACACTTATTAACTTTGTTATTATACCAAACAATAAAAATACTAATACTATACTGGCTGACTTCATGATTTTATCATTCAAACAAATAAACATGTCAAAATTACAGACACTGACTGCAACACAATATCATGACAACTTTTTTGGCAGTCATCACATAGCTCACCCATCACATAACTCACCCATCATATAGCTCACCCATCATATAGCTCACCCATCATATAGCTCACCCATCATATAGCTCACCCATCATATAGCTCACCCATCACATAGCTCACCCATCATATAGCTCACCCATCATATAGCTCACCCATCATAAAGCTCACCCATCATATAGCTCACCCATCATATAGCTCACCCATCATATAGCTCACCCATCATATAGCTCACCCATCACATAGCTCACCCATCATATAGCTCACCCATCATATAGCTCACCCATCATATAGCTCACCCATCACATAGCTCACCCATCACATAGCTCACCCATCATATAGCTCACCCATCACATAGCTCACCCATCATATAGCTCACCCATCATATAGCTCACCCATCATATAGCTCACCCATCATATAGCTCACCCATCACATAGCTCACCCATCACATAGCTCACCCATCATATAGCTCACCCATCACATAGCTCACCCATCACATAGCTCACCCATCATATAGCTCACCCATCATATAGCTCACCCATCATATAGCTCACCCATCACATAGCTCACCCATCACATAGCTCACCCATCACATAGCTCACCCATCACATAGCTCACCCATCACATAGCTCACCCATCACATAGCTCACCCATCACATAGCTCACCCATCACATAGCTCACCCATCACATAGCTCACCCATCACATAGCTCACCCATCACATAGCTCACCCATCACATAGCTCACCCATCACATAGCTCACCCATCACATAGCTCACCCATCACATAGCTCACCCATCACATAGCTCACCCATCACATAGCTCACCCATCACATAGCTCACCCATCACATAGCTCACCCATCACATAGCTCACCCATCACATAGCTCACCCATCACATAGCTCACCCATCACATAGCTCACCCATCATATAGCTCACCCATCACATAGCTCACCCATCACATAGCTCACCCATCATATAGCTCACCCATCACATAGCTCACCCATCACATAGCTCACCCATCACATAGCTCACCCATCACATAGCTCACCCATCACATAGCTCACCCATCACATAGCTCACCCATCATATAGCTCACCCATCACATAGCTCACCCATCACATAGCTCACCCATCATATAGCTCACCCATCACATAGCTCACCCATCATATAGCTCACCCATCATATAGCTCACCCATCATATAGCTCACCCATCATATAGCTCACCCATCATATAGCTCACCCATCACATAGCTCACCCATCACATAGCTCACCCATCACATAGCTCACCCATCACATAGCTCACCCATCACATAGCTCACCCATCACATAGCTCACCCATCATATAGCTCACCCATCACATAGCTCACCCATCACATAGCTCACCCATCACATAGCTCACCCATCACATAGCTCACCCATCACATAGCTCACCCATCACATAGCTCACCCATCACATAGCTCACCCATCACATAGCTCACCCATCACATAGCTCACCCATCATATAGCTCACCCATCACATAGCTCACCCATCACATAGCTCACCCATCATATAGCTCACCCATCACATAGCTCACCCATCACATAGCTCACCCATCACATAGCTCACCCATCACATAGCTCACCCATCACATAGCTCACCCATCACATAGCTCACCCATCACATAGCTCACCCATCACATAGCTCACCCATCATATAGCTCACCCATCATATAGCTCACCCATCATATAGCTCACCCATCATATAGCTCACCCATCATATAGCTCACCCATCACATAGCTCACCCATCACATAGCTCACCCATCACATAGCTCACCCATCACATAGCTCACCCATCACATAGCTCACCCATCACATAGCTCACCCATCATATAGCTCACCCATCATATAGCTCACCCATCACATAGCTAACCACATAGCATTCAAAACCACTGCACAAGGGACATTTGGGAAAGTAATGCCCCACATTGAATAATGATGACAGAAACATGAAATTTTCCACACTACAAATTTGAAGTATCAATACTGTATGTATGAAATGGCATTTCATTCCGACAAACAGAGCAACTTCACTAATCAGTTGAAACAGCGTGTAAGAATGATGTGTCAAGAGAAAATAGTAAAATTTATGGCTATGAAGAAAAAACTGCAGTGAATATTCATAAACATTTCAGTGTTATTTATGGAAACTGTGTGGTTTACATGAGCTGTTGGTCACTGGGTTCAGAGAGCTACAGCTTCAGAAAGCGGAGAGATGGACATAAGGAGGATTTTAGCCATGCTGTGAAGAAAAATCTAAGTGAACAGGAAAAACCAGATAAAAGCAAGACGTACAAGCATTTGTTTTGTGTTGTTGTTAGGTCATAGAATTGGACAGTGATTATATTGAAAATTAGGATGTGTAAATGCCAGAATGAGTTATACCGTCAGTGAATTTTATACATACTGCACAAATTAGCTGTGAGACTTTAAAATGAACTGAACTGCCACATAACAAAATCTATGCTATGCAAGTTTTAGTCAAAAAGCAAGCCCACACATAAGAGGTGTGATCAAATTAAACATTTCTCAATGCAAGCATATGAAAAGTATACTAGCATGTGTGGTACAATTAAACACATTTGGGGCAGAATAAAACAAAGAAACTGTTAAGAAGCAATCATACGCCTGGAGTTTTGTCAGTTGAAGCCGCTGTATACATTCAGACAAGCATTCCACTAGATGGGGAGATTGTGGATAATCTAGGCAGAGGACATGCTTGGAACTGCATGAGATGGCAAAGAGTAGGAAAGCTTGATATAAGAGTTGTTTGAGAACCTATGTTGCAATGGCTGGAGGGAAGGGGGTCGAAGAAGAAGGCAAGTCCTATTCAATAATGAGCCAGCTGTAATATTTCATAAAAATAATATTTTATAACACAAAATTGCATTAAAATATCTGATACAAATGGACTGCAAAGAACATATCTGAAAGGTAAAGCATTACAGGAGATTTAAGGACTAACAAAAAATTAGATTAGAAAACTCGACAAAAACCAAAAGAAACCATTTCTATCATAATGTCCTAAACCATCTTTTCAAATCATGTGGTTTGTCACCATAAACTTTGTGCTAATTCAAATCAAAAGCAACTGGTTGCTGTTTAGTGCCAGAAAGTCTAGTATGTGATACCAGAATGGAGGTGAAGGCAGTGGCTAGGGGCTTTCTGTTAGATGGAGAACAAGCAGGCTGGACATACAGCTGTAACACTGCAACAGACTCACAAAGGATGTAGAGAAAGATGAGAAGATCTCGGTGCCAGAGAAGTGTGACTATCAAATGCTGTCTACCCATTCAGAGTGGCTGCATTTCTTAAGCATGGTATAAATCAGTGCTGCTCAGGGTTTTTGCACCCCGAGCCCAACAAAACAGAGGACACTGTTTCATGGCAAACCTGACAGCTAACCAAACACACATCACAAAAACAAATGTAGACGGCTATAATTTTTGTTAAATTTGATGTCATAAGTTTAAAAAGTGAATCCGATGAGCGGGGTTTGTACCTGTTCTATTGTCATCCTTGATTTGTTCATCCTACAGACATTATGCAATCCTGGAAGACAGAAACTATCTACCCTCCCCCTTTACATGATTAGCCACATTTTTTAGGGTGGTCCACTTGGAATTTTCCACAGGTCACCGGTTGCAGAACACTGCTATAAATAAAACAATTTTAACTGACTCAAAGAGCAAGTTGAGAAAGGTGGAGACAGGTATGCTCCGTGCAGAGTGGCAGGCATCGCGTCAGAGGTCCCAGGTAGTTAGCAACAGCTGGATATTCTCTCCAGGATATTCTTATGCCGGTGTTGTGGGAAATGAGCAGGCAGAAAGACTGGCCAGTTTTGCACCACTTAGTGGTGAACTGATGTATGACAAGCTATATGTTGTGAGGGCCCTTTGGGAGAAGTAAACAATGCAGAGGCACAAATATATTACTATGGTCTGAGGAGAATGGCGAATATGTGAGGAGTTACCAGGGTTTCAGGCCGACTTTCAACACTGAAGGGAAGGAACGAGACAGATATACAATCAAACAGTTACTGGTACCATCGGAATTAGAACTCTCTACTTGCTGTTGTAGATGGGGCACAGAGTGCATATGAGAGTGTCCCGAGTGCTGTGATGTCCATTTTTAATTCAACATTCAACTGATAACATTCATAACATACTATAGAAATGACACCTCATGTCATAAACACATAGAGGTAGATAATACAGCATTTTGTTAATCTTGTTAGAATGCAGTTACACACCACACCTAAAAACAGCTGATACAAAAACAAGACATGGTCCAACAAGAAGATGGAACGAAGACATCAAAGACATTGTACACTCACAGGGAATCACCACAGCCAGTGGGACCCATCACTGGACCATCAAACTTTCCTTTCTTCCCAAAAACATGTGACGGCAAAAGTGGAAGATGATAATGATAATAAAATGTCAACAGCATTTATCAAAGCATACTTAAATAAAGAAACTGTTACAACAACCTATAAACATATCTGTATGTTTTTGTTTGTTAATGAAAATGTTAATTCTTCTCAATAACAAACAAAGAAAACATAATGGCAAAGAAATATCACATTAACAAGGTACAAATGTATATTCCATACAATAACAGCCCAAAAAAAAACTTGCTTAAAATCCATTCACAAAAACACTGCCCACAAAATGTGTGTAAAAATAAATACACTATTTAAAGAGAGAAAAAATATCCAGCCTGCGAATGCTTCAGGATCCGTTACCATAATAATTACCCCACAAAAAAAGACGATTGTGATAATTACATTGAGGGGATCAGACTCTCTGGATCTCAAACAACTTGACATTTGTATCATACCAGATAGGGGGATCCACGTTTCTGCAATTAGAATTTGTCATAATTCAATCAAACATAGTGTGAGAAACTATATCTTTTTCTTCTTCTTTCTTCTTCTTCTTCTTCTTCTTCTTCTTCTTCTTCTTCTTCTTCTTCTTCTTCTTCTTCTTCTTCTTCTTCTTCTTCTTCTTCTTCTTCTTCTGCTGCTGCTGCTGCTTCTTCTTCTTCTTCTTTTGCTCCCTCTTCTTCTTTTTCTTCTTCTTTTCCTTCTTCTTCTATATGTTTTACTGCTGATGCAATAACAAAATTGCCTCGTCAGATTACAAAATCTGTTTGCAGAGTTTTGAAGGAGAATCCCCCTTATGAATAGTTGACATTCTCTAATTTCTTCAATCAGCTGATGGGAAATAAGAAGATGGCTAGGACTGAAACCAGCCATACAGTTTATTAAAGAGCAGATGGTTTGGTTATCTGACGAGAATGTCCTGGCATAAACCAAACCGCCAAAAAAGAACCACAATGAAGAAATAACATGAGCACAGAACAAGGAGAAGGCTGTGCAAAAGATGGAAAGACAGCATCAAGAAAAACCTAAAAGAAATGAAGACAAACTTATGCAATGCTCTAGAAGGACAAGAAGTTGATGGGTTTCATCTTTTGTTGAAGAGCTGTATCATTTGTTTTTCTATCTGTTCATGGTATTTTCTTCACAGTTTCTCCCTCAGAAAAAGAGCCGCTGGCCAAGTGGTTATATTTCTGGGGTCTCAAGCAGGAGATCCAGTTTCAAATCTTGGTAAAGTGATGGAAGTCAGTTTTTTTTGGCTCTCCTCCGAACTTCTACCCCCACATTATGGCAGCACCAATTATCCGTACGGGGCTCAGTTCTATTAAAGATATGCTGGCTCTGTATAACGAAACAAATGCTCTAACAGGGTCTCAGCGATATGTTATTTGCAGACCTGTTTCTGTGACTATGCCTCATCGCCGACCGTATCCCCCAGGCCGCTATGCGCGGCGCGGATAGGGGCTAAACTAGATGGCTGGGATTCACGAGCAGCAGCTACCGCATCTCCTGCAACTTCCTCCAATTAATCTGCTCATGAGTCCCAGGCACCTAGTTTAGCCCCCCATCCGTGCCGCGCGTAGCGGCGCGGGGGATACTGTCGGCGGTAAGTGTAACCGTGTTTTGCTCATGCTCAAGTTTGAGGAAAACAACGGCGCTAATCTGCGTCAGCGCAGGTGTACTCCCCACCATGTTGCTTTTATTGTCAGTAATGTTGCGTGTCTCGAAAATGTCCATGGTCGCTAGTATCGTCTGCTAGTATCGTCTGCAGAAACGCTTGAAAGTGTCAACAGTCGCTATTATCTGCTACTATTCGTTCGTCGCCGGAAGTTCGCATATTTTTAATAGAACTGAGCCCTGTACGGATATTTGTTGCCGCCATAATGCGGGGGTAGAAGTTCGGAGGAGAGCCTTTTTTTTTAAAAATTTTCTATTTTGTAATCTGCACAGATCAATTGATTTATTTAGGTAGCAGTTTTGATAGTCAAGGGAATAAAAAGAAAGAAACTATGACACGCACTGGAAAGACATCCGCAGTGTTTAAAAGCCTGAAACAAACATGGAACTCTCAATTGCATACAGTGGTACAGTGTGGTATCTCAGAATTCAAATGCCTCAAAACTCAAACAATTTGGAATCCGACTGAGATGTTCAAGTAAATTTTACCTCGGAACTCAAATGTCATCTTAGTAACAGAATGCATGGCACGTGCCGATCACACGAATGAGCTGATAATGCAAGAGCTTCAGCACCTTCACCAGCAGCAGAAGGAAGAAACTGCAAAAGAGATTTCTTCCAGGGAGGAAGAGGAGAAAGCTGGAAGGATTAGCACTGCTGAAATTCAAGATCTTTTGATCATGCTGTCAAAAATGCAAGTTGTTGTTGGCACCCTGATGGAGCCCCAGTTGACAGATGAGTTAACTTATTCAATTATAAAATTATTGAACATTTTAGAAAATTTTAAAGGGTTGCCAACATCGCAGCACTTTGAAATGCTGGATGTAAACAAATAAAACCTAGGGACCCCCCAAAACTTCTACAAGTCGTCAACAACTATATATGAAGCCCCAGAAAGGATTCCTGATGTTATCATGGAAGGTACTTGAACAATAATCTTATATCTGTACTCCTCCGACTTCTATGTGCTATGTCACCATTTTGATCATGGTATAGAAAATAAAAAAAAAATTTATGTTTATATTCAAATACGATCCTCATGTGTTTCTATTATTACAGTGTACTGTATATTTAGAAAAATAAATTTTAAAATTTGAGTTAACCCACCCTGGAACAGACTAACTTAGTTGCTATTATTGTCAGTGGGGAAAAATTGTGCTGTGGTTTTCAAAAAGGCATAACATGTATGATTTCAGCAAATACCTCATTAGTCACCTTTAGTGACATGCCTGTTTGGGGCGGAGAGGTGGTAGAGGTTCTGGTCATTTTCCCCACCAAACGTGGACCCCAGAACCCAAACAAAGAAACATGTCTACAATAGTACAGAATACTATGATAAGGAAAAGGTAGCGATGAGAGGATCGACTTCACTGCACCATGTTTTGTTCTGTATGGCTCAGTATCTCTCCGCAGAACAGCTAGCTGCCTGCCAAGAGCGTCACACAGAGCACGACCTCCTTAGCTCTGGTGACAATCCTCAGAGATCTCTGTAAAAATTGCACTCGTGAACTGAACTGCACCGCTGTCAAACGAATCCCCGACCTTCAGAGTGCAAGGCAAACAGCTTGACCACTTCTCCATGGAGACCCATCATATAACATGATTAGACATATCACAAAAATAATTAATGACAACTGTGCAACTCACCTGAGATAAATAACACCCCATAGGTAAGTGCGGAACCACATGGTGGTGCCACTGTTAGCCTGATACTTTCTGATCAAAATTGGATGTGGAACTGGCAGCAGACCCACTAGAGTTCCATGCTGAAGAAACTTTAAGATCTCTGTTTCGTCAGTAAGACCCCTGAGATACAAGCAAATACGATAGCCAGGTTATGGATGAATCTGAATGTTAATTTTGAGAAGTTTCATAAAATCACAGAAGATAGTTTGAAAAAGTTAGTTGTGTATCCTTTACAGGACATTGCAAAACCAACCTCAGCATTTTTGGGCTGTTGTGGTTTTTCTAGACAAGTTTTACATTCAGTAGTCTGCCACTGCTTTCACAAATCGTCTGCAGCTAGGATCGAACCCAGCCCACCAGCATTACGAAGCACATTTGCAATGCTTAAGCCACAGACGCTGACCAGAAAATAAGGCATTACAAAACAATTATTTTTCTGTGTGTGGGTTCTGGGGCCCACTCTCTGGGGAAAAACAAGAATAAATAGACCCACTGCACACCCAAAAGCATGTCATTAGAGTTGACTAATTGGGAGTTTTCTTCAAAATATAAGTGCATCTGCCTGATAGGTAAGGAACCAACAGTGTGCATACAAATAAGTCAGATCTGTAAAACAGATGTGCACACAACATTCAGGTTCTGGAACAGGACTACAAGTCCAGAAGCGGCGGAACAAGCAGAACTGTCCGCTAGAGTTTACAGCCAGTAAACATAAAGGAGAAAAATAAAAACAATTTTTAGTCACTACTACATTCAAATCTATTTCTTTCCCCCAAAGCAGGAAACAACTTCAGTTCATTCAATTTTATCATAAAAAGATATAACAGCCAGACTATGTTAACTTTTTCAGACTATGTTAACTTTTTCCATCCCAGAAGATCATATCTGATACCTGACTGAAGCAATAATGATGACAGCAAAAGCATGGGTATACTGCATCCACAGGGTCTAAATAGACAGCACATTATGGTTTTGTGCTGTTGGATTAATTAAGTTTGCATGACTCAAGATGTACAAATATAGAAATCATGTTGACTGGTGCAGATGAGTAAATATAAAACACATGGTTCGTTGTTTGGGAATAAAGGAGTTCGTGATTTTATTTCTTTGCCAATGAAGAAAAAAAAATTAATTCAGTTTCATCATGAAAATATGGCATCCTTACTATATTATTTCAAGTTGTTTTTTTCTATTGGGTCAAAGCAAGAAACAACTTAGTCTTTAATCTTGAGCCTAGGGCAACACATAGGGTTGAGGTCATAGCTCTTCATGTCTGGTAGTTCACTGCAGCCTGTTTTGGGTCGCTGATGTTCATTAGGCCCATGGTAAAAAGCCTTCCCTGATGATGGTTCTATGCAGAGTCTCTCTCTTGGTCTTTCCCATTTTTCTTACCCTTTCAGTGTCAATATGAGGGCTTGATGGAGGGGTGTGGTCTTATCCTTTCTGACTGCATGGCCAATGTAGTTCCATGGTGCTTTCTTATACAATTTTATACATTATCTTGCTTGGAAACAACTAGTTAGTTGCGTATCCTTTACAGGAGTTTGCAGAACCAACCCCAACAGCTCCAGGCTGTTGTGTGATTTTTCTAGGCAAATTTACGTCCAGTAGTTTGCCATTGCTTTCTGGACGGTCGGCTTTCTTGATACCACTGTGGAAACCAACGCAGTAGCTGGAATCGAACCCGGCATTACGAAGCGTTCTCATCGACTTAGCCACAGAGCCGACTGGAAACAGCTACAATCATTTAATTCAGCTTCATCATAATAAAGAAGAACGCTGGACTTACTTATCAATGCAGATTTTTTCCACTTGTGGGACCAAGACCTGAAGCATTCTCATGATTGTTTGCAGTGGCAACTTCTGTTTCCATGATTGGACCTAATAAAAAAAAACAAATTACAAACACTCTTTGTTACTGTGGCTCTTGCTGTCTTCCAAACATTCAAATGCAACAAGCAATCAGAGATACAAGATTTAAAGCCTCACATATTTCCATGGGTAGACTGGATCCCGCTGTAGTATACCTACAAAAAAAAAACTTCAGAAAAAGATAAAGAAAGTGCTGGGACACAATCAAATAATCTAGTTACCTATAACCACACTTAAAAATCTAATAAAAATAAACACACAGAAAAGCCACCTGTTTAACAAGAGGATGGCTACTGTCTAGTTGACAGAAGTGAGCCAGCTGTTTTACTTAGAACAGGAGTTCACAGATTTGGCAAACAGATCTATACAAACAAAAATAATTTATTGAAAAAAAAAACAGTCATGTTTTATCTTGGTATCCTGAAGAAGATAGTTTGTCACTGCTTTCTTTCTTGGCAGTTAACATACAGGTAAGATGATACTGTCACTATAGTGTAACTTTCTGCCCACAGTTGAGGAACTTGAGACCATGAATGAGGCAGGACAAGAGCACTGACCTGATTCATGATTCTGATGATTGTGTTAGATTGTGAACCATGACTGCCTTTGCTTATTGCCAGGCCAATGATGATGATGAGACAGTAAACACAAAGCTGATGATAAGTTTTACAGCAAGTCTATGTATGGAAAAGCATATCAGTTTTATAGCAATGAACACGTATGGAAAAGCACATCAGTTTTATAGCGATGAACGCGTATGGAAAAGCACATCAGTTTTATAGCGATGAACATGTATGGAAAAAAACATCAGTGAAAAGGGATTGGTTTGAGTGTCTTCTTGTCGATATCGGAGATATCGACACTCAAACCAATCCCTCTTCATTTTAATAGCCCTGACCACAGCGGTAAAGATGACATATCTGTCACAGCATTAAAATCTTGCTCTGGCGATCATACTACCCGCCTCGCTTTGGAAAATCGCCTTATCCACAGCCTTAGGGTTCTTAGTCCAAGAGGTATCAATATCCAACATACCTTTATCTAAATAGTTCTAATCTTATCACATTTTAAATGTTAATTATTTTATTTTATTTCATATTATTACTTTATTCTATTTCTTATCAGTATCATTTATGTATCATTAACACTTGTTTTTCTTTTATTCCCAGTATTGTGACAATATTTTTTTTAGCCATCGTTTATTTTATTATATTTCATTTATTCTGCATCACATTTTTTTAAACGTCGCTCACGTCACCCCTTAGAGATCTACATACTCTCCATTCCTCGTTTGTGTATTTCACTTGTGTTTGAAAAAGGCTGCCTGGCCGAAACGTTACGTTGTGTTGTTTTGTGCACGTTTTCCTCTTTGCCATTTTGTTGAGCTTTTTAGTCAAATTTCTCTGGAATTCCTTGTATTAGCTTGACTGCAGTCACCCCCATAGTTTCACCAGTTTTACAGAAATATGCTCATATGAAAAAGTACTTTATTTTACAGCATCTCAGTTTTACAGCAGTGTGTACATATGGAAAAGTACCTCAAACTAAAGAACATGTGCATGTATCAAGCGTAACTCAGAAGGTCATGGCTTGTCACTCTACCTGACAATTAATGGCATGGCATATAATGATCTTTAAACAAGGAATAAAAAGAAAAACTGAATAAAACACAAGGGTAGGTACTTAAAAATTGTTACACATACAAAGAATTGAAAATAATGCTGATAAGGGGGGAAGGGGAGGTGATATATTTACCATTTAAGGAATAGGAGATTACTGAAGCAATATTAATCAAAACGACCAGTCCTGCTTTGTGCAGCCAAAGAAAATTTGTGGTAAATTTAAATTTGGAGCTTCATCTTTAATATTCTCAAGGAGATCATAAAAACATTCTATAATATCATCTTCTTTATCTTCAGTGGGTGCATACAAATTAACCATCGTGGTATTTTTCCATTTTCCTTTTATTCGTAACTGACTGATCCTATCACTAACAGTTTCAAAATTTATAACGCTTTCCCAAAACTATTTCTTGATAACAAATCCTGTCCCTAGTTCATGTTTGTTTTAAGTGTTTCCTCTATACACTATGATCATTCCATTTTCCTCTATGGTACCCTGTCCTGGTCATCTTATTTCTTGAATTGCTGTTATATCCATTCTGTATTTTGATAACTCACAGGTCAGTACTTCAGCTGCTCCAGCTCTATAAAGGTTTCCTACATTCCATGTTCTAAATCTCAAAAGTTCTTTAACGTTGCAGGTTTATTGTCCGTTTAAATCCATCTAAAATTGAGGCTTGGATATCTGTTTCGTGACAAGATAAAATTTTACGAAGGTGGGGGTGTCGGCCCCACACTTCAACCCCCAATCTGGAGGAAATTTTTACATGCATTATTTTATAATTCAATAAGTCCATTGTGTGTTTCAATGGATGAAGGAAAATAGGAAAATCCCGTCTGTCTGTCTGGTGATCTTAACTAGGGCTTACAACTGGGATAGGGCTTTTAGACAAGCATCCTGAAAAATCATACTACAGCTCATGTTTGGGTTAGGTGTCATTTTCTTGGGGGTGGGTGGGTGGGGGGTAAAATGCCTTACGGAGGGTGTACTAAGCAACTTACCCATTCTGGAGTAGCCACCCACTGTACAACTGATGTTCTGGCAGCAGGTCGTGTGGACTCTGTGGGTGTTTTAGGTACAGGTTCAGGTGTTGTGGGTGACTGTGGTGGAAGTGGCTGGATCAACAACAACAAAACAACACACAAAAAACAGTGAAATCATCATAACCTTACTGATGCACATACTACCATGTTACGTGAGAGAGAGACGAAGAGAGAGACAGCGTACAAGAAACAGACAGACAAAGACAGAAACTGAAAGAAATTGAAGAAAACAAAATGACAGACAGAAAAAAAAGGATAGAAAAAAAAGACAAGACAGAAAGAAATAGTCCAATAATACATGAATACGTGCAAGTTAGTATGTGATCATGCACGTTTATGAGAGAAAATATAACGTGTGTGAGCATCTGGAAAGAGAAAAAAGTGTAAGTGAAAAGAAAACAGATACATGTGCAACATGCATATGAGAGAAAGTAGAGTTAGAGAGAGAAGGGGAGAGAAAGATGATAGAGAGAGAAACAGTGAAAGAGAGAGACATACAGACCGAGACAGAAAAGGAGAGAAAATGCAAAACAGAAAGACTGACAAAAAGAAGAACAGAGAGACAGAAAGAGACAGCAGTCCAATAAAACATGTATGTGTGCAAGAAAGCATGTGATCATGCATTGGTATGAGAGAACAGATCATGTGTCTTAGCATCTATCTGGAAAGAGAAGAAAGAAAAAAGAACAAAGAGTGCATGTGAGAAGAGAACAGATACATGTGCAATATTTACATGAGAAAAAGGAGACTGCAAAGGGGGAGGGGGGAGAGAGAGAGAGGGAGAGAGAGAGGGGGAGAGAGAGAGAGAGAGAGAGAGAGAGAGAGAGAGAAAGAGAGAGAGAGAAAAAGAGAGAGAGAGAGAGAGAAAGAGAGAGAAAAAGAGAGAGAGAGAAAGAGAGAGAGAGAGAGAGAGAGAAAGAGAGAGAGAGAGAAAAAGAGAGAGAGAGAGAAAAAGAGAGAGAGAGAGAGAGAGAGAGAGAGAGAGAGACTGTCCATAGTAAGTTTTCAACTTCACTGCAGACGATCACCCACCCCATAATTGTTCCATTCTTAGGCAAGTGAAAATAAAATAAAAATGCCCTTCACTCTCGCATTTGAGAAAACAATTAGTCCCAGCAAAATCTAGAAACATGCGCACACAGAAAATGCACAAGGTAGCAGCTAGAGTTGCTAACACCAACATTCGCCACCAGAATTGTTATTTATCACCAATGGAAGTAGTCAGTCAAAACAAGCTGGCAATACACATGCGATATTATTGCATAAAAAACTTCGCCATCCCAAATGCAAATACAGAAACTGCAGTGGGCACAGATGGAAGGCACCACATGAAAAGTATAGCTCACAGTGCTGCACCAAATACTCAATTTCAGTTGCTTAGGCAATCAACATTCTCAATGCATGGTGGTTTATGGGGGGGGGGGGGTCCCTTTTCCCCCTCACATGATGATGATTAATTGGCACCTTTCCATCTTTCCAGATGACAGTGTTATATTGCGCTATGAGGAGGCATGAGATTCACAGCCCATGGCAATGGTGAGTGTGACTAGCAAGAACCCGCCTGTGTCAAGAAAAGTCTTTCCACAATGATGGCATGGGATTTCAGGACCATTGTTGTCAACATTTGTGTTTAATCCGTTTCTTTTCAGACGCTCAGCTCTCATCCTTTCTGCAATAATTTCTTCCTTCACTCTTATTCCCTTCCTGATATGCCCTTTCCACACAACACGGTCCATGACATTTTGTTCCCATAAGTCCACCTCACTCAAATACCTGTAAATGTCAATTTTAATTCTACAATCAAATTTCATTTTCATACCTCGCTGTTCAATGTAGGTGGCTGAGGACTGGAAGTGGAAAGCCCAGAAATTCCATGTGAATTTTCCTTGTTAACAACTTGTGCAGTCTCCTCCATATCCCCAGCGGGCTGAGCATTATGAGAGCTCATATCTTCTGCCAGCTCTTTCAAAGTAGCCTGACAATGGCCATCGTCTGGAGCCGCCTTTTCTGTCATCTTATCAATTCCTGTGAAATATTAATATAAAAATTATTCATGCAACATAATTTTTTTTTAAATTAAATTAGAAGCTCATGTGGCTTAGCTCTTTCCAACATCTGACAAATTTCTGTGAAATAATAATATGAAATTATTAATGGAGTATAATTTAACTCCCAAGGAATGCATCGAGCACTAATTGGTTGCTACAAGTGGCACATGATGTGCACACGTATTTAATTTACCATTGGCCAGTATAAAAATGCAAACAGGCAGTTTTGAATGGTATTTCTTGTTCTATGTGTTCAATAACACTTGTGCTGATCATTAGGTTTATTCAGAAATCTGGTGAAAAGCATCAAATATAGCAGGTTTGTGGGTTTTACCGAGTTATAAAGTGTCTGTTTGAAAATAATATGACCTCCGAGCAGACTTCTTAATGAAGCCTAAACAAATAAATAAAACATGTGTTTATCAGATTTATCTGAAGCTAGACAAAGAAAGTTGTGAAGTTAACTTGTTTCAGTCACTGATCGAGTCACATTTTGATGAGGATGGCTCTAATTTGTGCCTAATGCAAAGTGTACAATAATAACAAAATCAGCTGGTATAAAAATATAAAAGTATTTGTGAAAATGTGATTTTCTTCAGTATCAGTTAGTTCTAGTGTGATTTCTTTATTATTTAGGAACATAGGCTATAAAATGATGAGCAAATTGAGTTTTTTTTTTTTAATTTTTTTTTTTTTGGGGGGGGGGGGGGGGGGGGGGGGGGGAAATGCCGTTTTCGGAAGTCATTTTTTCTTTATAAAAAAAATGGTGCTGTTTTGGTGTTCCAAAAGTTTCTCTGCAACAAGATCTAATGTACAAATTGTGTTTATATTTAATCTATACATGACTAAACAGTTCCATATTCATTTGTGATTTATTTGGATACATTTTATCGAGTTTTCTTTAAGCGCAATGACAGTAAGTGGACAAATTATTATTTTGTTTCCCTAATCTATCTAAACATGTCGTTTGCTTACTTACTAATTTTTAACTACTAACAAAATTATTTGTTGTAGCAGCATTCTAATATTATTCCTCCACAAACCCTGGTCATTTTGATTGTATAATCTGAATTAGTATGGTCTGTTTTAATTTGTTACACTTGTGACATTTTAAAACTGCATTATCACCCCTTAGTCCTCTGATGCCAAACCCCCTGAGACTCAAAGAGTTTAGTTAAAAAAAATGAAATCAGAACCTCATTTAGCTTGATTCTTTCCGTCATCTTATTAATTCCTATGACATATTTTTTTTTTAAATTACTTGCATTTCTAATCTTCCTGATCATGGATTAAATATTTCAGAACCAAAGATGGTTAATTAGTTATAAATTTATGATGCATTCCTTGGTACTCAAAGAGTTAACTTATGCAATATTATTTCAGTAAAAATTAAAAGGTAATGTGGTTATGAGAAGTGCACTTGCCTACTGTGACTGATTATGGATTAGGACTTCTCACTGTCGCAAAGAGTTAACTGGTTAAATTAGAGCGCATACAGAACACCGCTATGCAAGTCATTTGGGGATGTACAAGAGACATTCCAGTAGTGCGCATGTGATGCATCCTTGGTTTGCCGACTGTTGCAGGTAGACTCAAGGTGCTGCAGGGAAGTCATACCTCATCGTAGTTGAAGACACAGATCACACTCTGCATGAAGTGCTGGATGCAGTTAAGGGTCTGCACGCAGCTGATAAGAGGGAAGTCATGGATGGCTCAGGCAGAGTACAAGATCAGACAGGTTTCCTTCCTGGAGAACATTAAGCGAGGAGAAGAGTGGGTCAGAGTGCCAGTGGAATAGTCAAACTTGTGCAGAGTCATGATCACATTCAGCTGGGAGTGCAGGGAGTGGCCCCCATGTGCCATGGAGGTGGAAATTATGTCTTCTGGCTCAATAGTCGGTTTAAATTCCTTGTAGACAACTTTATGATGTTGCTACTCAGTTTTCTTTCAAGACATCATCACTATGCTTTTTTTTTATATGCCAAGAGTAGGACAAATAAATTAAAATGCACTTTTTGGTGCTGCTGACGTAAATGCCTCTGGTACATCAGGGATACAATGCCAGATACACATTTTTATAAACCATTGCTAGATCTATATTTTTTTAAAGACTAATCCACACTATGTGGGTGCTGAGGTCAACATCCTGCAGTCGCCTTTATTTCCCCGGACATTGTCTGGTACCCATTTTAGCTGAGGCCGACCTGGGAGCCAAAGTGAGTTTGGAAAAAAGTGCGTCTCAAAGTTAATTTGAACTCCTGACATTAAAGCCAACAGGTGAGCTTAACTACCACGCCTCCTAAAGAAAGAAGTAGAGACAGAAAGAAAAAGGTATCATCGCTGTCAAGGTCACCTTATTTTAGGGGTGTCTGGTTAGTCATTTGTCGAAGTCCACTTATTTCAGCAGTGAAACACCATCAATGTCTGGAGGTAAGAGATTTGATTCCTAAAGCAGCAATGATACCTTTCGATCTCAATGTTACCTATTGTATCTTTTTTTGTTTCTATTCTCTGGTGCATTTATGAGTAGCCAATAAATACATTACAATGTGAACAAAAAAGACATTAACAATGGATTGCACAATTTATTTCCGGTTCAATTCCAATATCTTTCCCCAAACAGACAGCTGAATATTTTTGGGGATGGTAGGCTGCATGCGGTCGTGGGATCTAAGCTGCATGCAGTCGTGGGACCATAGGCTGCACTCTCCCGTGGGATGTAGGTGGGTTGGGGTTAGGCCCAGTTCAAGATGTTACAAGCATCAGAAAGCCGGTAAACCCGCTCTTACTACCTTCAAAAATATTGTCCTGTGACGTCATCCTGGGGGGAGATATTGGAAAAGCACCTTATTTCCTTGTACATTTTATTGTATCTCATGAGGGGCATACCACAGTAACAATTAAATAAAATAAGATATATAAATGAATGAACCCTAGAAAAACAAAATACAAAAATCAATCACATTTATGAGTAACAGCCTGTCAGACAATAATGTGCAGTTTATTGTGTCTTCTTTGTTAAAATATACAATGGGGAACACTGCTTTTCTGAAACACTATAATTTGTACATCATAATGTATTTTTGGCCTCATGGGTTCACAGTGAATTTGTTTTTTGTCTGTCCATTGTGTTCTCACAATTCTTCTATAAAACCACAGCTTCCATATAATTGTGCATTAATCAACTAATTCAAACAACAAAAGAAACATAACAATACATACTAGGTGTCGCAGCCAGTGAGACTTTGAGTGTGCCAGGTTCTGCTTCTAAAGCTGGTTGTGCCCCTTCCATCGTCTGAGGGTCTCGTGTGTCCTGTGGAGGCGCTGCAAACTTCTTCCCACGCTTGGTCATGGCCTTGGCTATGGCAGAGTGGTCGACGGGAAGATTTGCCAGCTGGTGGAAAACATTCCTCTTGCGGATGATGGTGTAGACAAGGTTAGAATTACCTGCAAAAAGTATCAGAACCGTCAGCTTAATGTATAAGAATTTCATACCAAACAAATCATAATTTTTTACTAACAACATCTATATCTCTATATCCTCTTCATGTTGCAGTTGACACATCACATAAGGCATTCACAATTGATCTCCACTGCAGCTGGTCTGCTGTTTTTCAGCCCATGGTATCCCATGTCAGTTTACATCCATTATTCCCGTTCTATTGTTCTTCTCCAGGTTTCTTTAGGTCGTCCACGTTTTCTTTTCCCATCTGCTGTCCACCGGAGAGCTGTTTTTGCCAGTGTCACAAGACATTCCGCAAACATGTCCAAGCCATCTACATCGTCCTACTTTGATAATATTTGCCAGTGATGTACATTCTGTTTTCCTTCTCAGTTCTTCATTTGTGATCTTGTTTGACCAAAATATTCGTAGAATTCTCCTTAAACATTTATTTTGAAGAGTCTCAAGTTTATGTGTAATCCCCGCTGTGATTTTCCAACATTCACTGTTGTATGATTCCTAAAATGTTGCTCTTGTATATTCTGCGTTTTGTCTTCAAACTAAATTCCTTTGACATCCATATATTGTTAAGCATGGCAAATGCTTGATTTCCTTTGTTTATTCTTGATGCTACATCCTTTTCAGAATCTCCATCTGGAGTAACTCCACTTCCGAGGTCTATAAATTTTTTAACATCCCCATGACGGCTTGATATAAGATTGATGTCATCTGCATAGACCATATCCTCTAAAACAGAGGTGAGTGACCACCTGGTGCCTCTTTTTCTATCTCGTGTAACTTCCTTCATCAGCCAGTCAATGGCCAAATTGAACACAAAAGGAGATAGTATGCATCCCTGTCTGACTCCTGTGTTAACAAACATTAGTCTTTTCTAAAATCAACAATAGATATTTTAAAAATTATTGTGTGGGTTCTAGGGCCCCACAAAAACAAAAACAGACCCACTGCCTACTCAAAAGCATGTTGTAAGAGTCAACTAAATAGGACCTTCTTCGAATGTGGAGTGCATCTGCCTGAGAGGCAAGTAACCAACAGTCTGCATTACAAATAATTCAGATCTGTAAAGCGGATGTGCAGGCAACACCACTGTTCTCAAACAGGTCTACAGTCCAGAAGTGGATGAACAACCAGAGCTTTCGCTGCACTGGCTGCTGAAGATGGGGATGGAGCACATATGGGAATGCCCCGAGCACTTTTAAGTTGGTTTTTGAATCAAGTGCATCTGTGGAGTGCATCTGCCTGAGAGGCAAGTAACCAACAGTCTGCATTACAAATGAGTCAGATCTGTAAAGTGGATGTGCAGGCAACACCCCTGTTGTCAAACAGGTCTAGAGTCCAGAAGTGGATGAACAACCAGAGCTTTGGCTGCACTGACTGCTGAAGATGGGGATGGAGCACTTATGGGAATGCCTAGAGTGCTGTTATGTTAGTTCTTGAATTATCTCAACTCCAGAAAACTATGTACCAGTACTCTAAGTGTCTATTACAGCAGCAGTTTAAAAAAAATGTATAACTAAACAAAGGGTACCTTTACTGCATACTGTTGTGTGCCCCAGAAAAACTCTCTGGCTGTGACACCAAAACTTACCATCAAACTGGTACTGGATAATGTTATTGAACACCTCCAGCAAGAAGAAAACAAGATGGTGGTTTGTTGCACTGGCATACAGGAACCATGGTGTGCTGAACGCCTGCAACAACAAAATCTGGCAGTAACAAAAGTGCAGGAAAACAAACAGAATATGTCAAGCTGTTTTGAATTATCTTCTTTAGGTATCTGGCCTACATATAAAGACATGAAATTTTGAGTTCTTCAGGAGAGAAAGCTAACAGATACATCTGAAATAAAAAAAAAGGTGTGTGACAGAGATGTCTTTTTGTCACTTCTCCTATTTTTACTGGCTATAGACTGGATTATGAAGACAGTAACTGCTAACACCAAAAATGAAATTCAGTGGATCCCTACAAAACGGCTTGATGATCTGGACTTTGCTGACGATATTTCTCTTCTGTACCATTCAAGGAATCAGATGCAGACGTGGAGTCATTCACCTATTTGGGCAGTAATGTAGATAATAATGGGGGAACTGATAGAGATATTAAAATAAAAGTACAAAAGACAAGAGGAGCTTTCATAGCACTAGGGAATTTCTGGAGGTCAAAAGAAATTAAAAGAAATTCTAGACTTAAAATTTCTAATTCTAATGTCAAATAAGTACTTTTGTATGGGGCGGAAACATGGAGAACAACTAAGGCAATTACTAATAAACTACAGACATTCATCAACTGCTGCCTGTGCAGAATAGAGGAAATTAAATGGTATGATAGATTCACTTATGTAGAGCTTTAGGAGAGAACTAAGCAAGCTCTAGTGAACCAAGTGTTGAAGAAAAGATGCTGGCGTTGGATAGGAAACACATTGAGAGCACTGGAGAACAATATAACTAGAATGTCTTTGCATTGGAACTCACAGGGGCATAGGAATAAAGGAAGGCCAAAAAACACATGGAGAAGGGAGCTGGAGAATGAAGATAAAAAGATGGGGAGGACATGGGAGAGATGCATGCGATAGGAAAGGATAGGACGACCTGGCGTGAGTTGGATGACTGCCTATGCTTCATTGGGGGCTAGAAGGGCAGAAGAAGAAGGTATCTGGCCTGGAACAGACGCTGTTGACCATGTCTCTTTCAGGAATATTTTCACCTTTACAAACAAGGGACCCCTTTCTCCCTCCAGTGGTAGTCAACATCATCAGTGCCTTGCCCACTGGCTTGGGCGATCATGCCTCTCTACAATTTGGGATCTCTAACATGTGTCAGTTTGTGTACTGACACCACCCCATATCATGACAAAAGGCTGTCAACAATCGGCTCATGTTGTCTTCTGTTTTTCCCCACAGATCTTTCCAGTGGTCACAACATGTTAAAGGCTCCTCCTTCTCATGATATGACCAAATAAAGTAATTTTCTGATGTTTGTGATAGGTTGTCTTTGAGCCCTCAAATCTTTCAAAACATCTAGGTTGCTCTGTTTGGCTGTCCAAGGAATACTAAGGGTTTTTCTGAAAACAGCATCTGCTGAGTGCTCTAATGGCCTAGTGCTGGAGGTCCTGGGTTCAGGCCCCGGTGATGTCTGGGAATTTTTCACTTGAACTAGTAATTTCCCCCTGGTCTCTGGGTAGTAATATCGGGAGCACGTGTGTATTGTTGCACACATTAAAAAATCCCTTGTCAGTTGAAAATCTAAAAAAGTAGCCTAACGGCACTGCCCAGGGGAAATTTTGAGTTAAAAATCTACCCAAAAGTATTTGAGGATCCTCGCCGGTGCTACAGGCACTGCGCTGAGATTCTTCGGACTCAGACTTGATGGAGCACTTCTGGGTTACTACCCTTGTGTCATGATGTTGATCCATTGCATAAACCAAACCAAACATCTGCTAGCTTTCCAAAAGATTATTTAGCTTTTTTAAATAATTGTCTATGATTTTTAGCCATATGATAAAGCTGGCTTTATTTAGAATTTGAGAATTCTTTTCCTTACCTGGAATGACATGAATATTTTGCAAAAAATTGTTTTCCTTTTTATAAAATGCAGTTTTAGCCCATCGGATTACATTTTTTTTAAAATCTCTGTGACACATCTTCCCTCGTATGTCATCTACGTGCCTAGATACTTCAATGCTAGTGGTGCGTACGGCATATGATTTTAGAATCATATTTATATAGATGAATCGACACTTGATGAGTGATAAGATCAACATCATGCCGACTGCCTTTACTTCCCTAGTCATTACTTAGAACTACTTTTAGGCTGGGTCAAACTGGGAGCCAAGTTCAATTGTGAAAAAAACACCTACTCGAACCAAGGACCTTTAGGTTGGCCGATGAGCATCTAGCTACTGCTCTACTGCGGCGGCTTCCTTAACTATTCTTCTTCTTAGCATTCACCAGCTGTTAACTCTGGCAGAAAGTTCTGGTTGTTCATCCACTCCTGGACTTTAGTCTTGTTCCAGAATCATGAGCATGTTACGTCACAAAGTGAAATATATACAGCATGAGAATGACATGTATGAAAAGACCAGTTGATGTGTGAATATTTACCTCCAGCAAGTGAAGTAACTTTGTGCTAGCCACCATGGACAAGGTTTTCAAGTAGGGTGACACTGAAACAGAAATATAAAACTAAGTGATATCTGTTTCCAGGACATCAATAATTATATCTATTTCCAGGACATAAATAATTATATCTATTTCCAGGGCATCAATAATTATATCTATTTCCAGGGCATCAAATTTATTATATCTTATTTCCAGGGCATAAATATATATTACATCCACTTCCAGGACATCAATAATTATATCTATTTCCAGGGCATGAATACATATAATATCTTATTTCCAGGGCATAAATATTTATTACATCTATTTCCAGGATATAAATATTTATGATATCTATTTCCAGGACATCAATATTCGTATCTATTTCCAGGGCATAAATATATTTTACATCTATTTCCAGGACATCTATATTTATTATATCTATGTCCAGGACATCTATATTTATTATATCTATGTCCAGGATATCTATATTTATTATATCTATGTCCAGGCCATCTATATTTATTATATCTATGTCCAGGCCATCTATATTTATTATATCTATGTCCAGGACATCTATATTTATTATATCTATGTCCAGGACATCTATATTTATTATATCTATGTCCAGGCCATCTATATTTATTATATCTATGTCCAGGACATCTATATTTATTATATCTATGTCCAGGACATCTATATTTATTATATCTATGTCCAGGCCATCTATATTTATTATATCTATGTCCAGGCCATCAATACTTATTATACTTATTTCCAGAAGATCAATATTTACAATATCTATTTCCTTGACATTAATATTTATGATAAATATATCAAGGGCATCTATACATTATATATTTCCATGATATCTGTATTTATTTTAGATATTTCCAGGGTTATCTATAATAACTAAATCTGCTGCCAGTGTATATCTACTATACACAGGGTTGCTATTTCCAGTGTATAAACATCCACGATATCTATAAAAAGGCTATTTACAAAATATCATGAACCTAAACATATCAGGTTTCTAAAGCCAAAGCCATGTATCTATGTGGTAGGAAACAAGCAAATACATATTACCAAGAAAGAGCAGAATGCAACTAATTTGCACTCATGCACAACTATTCTTCCTTATGTTCACCGCCTATAAATTATGATGGAAATTTCTATTTGTTTATCCAGAACTTGAGTTTTGTGTGCACATCCATTTTACAAATGTGGCCTATTTGTATACAGACTGTTGGTTCCTCATTTATCTGAGAGATGCACAGGGACTTCAAAGGAAACCCCCCTAAGTAGTCACCTTCTACTAAGGCTAATCACAAAGATAAATAGAGATGGGTGATATTTGCAGCAAGGAGCCTCATGGGCTTAGAAATTCAAAGAAGAAGAATAAAAAAGACCATTATTTTAGACAATAAATCCTAAAGCCAGAAATAGATGAAGAAATGTCTGTAAGGTCCTGAAACAGTTAACATACTGCAAAGTACCTTTACAATAAATCACAGTGTAGGAAATTCAATAACTGAATAAATACTGCAATCTTTATCTACAAGGTTGTTACATATTTTTTTTTTTTGCAAACCCAAATAGTTGTATGCATAACACTTCAAAAACTGCACTCACCATTGACAATGATCGTCAATAAACAATCAAAGAGAGGCTGCAGACGCTGGTGTCCCGTGGTTATAATTTTGTGAAATACCTAGGGAAAAAACAGAATAGTTTCATCATCATCATCAATTTCCACTTCTGCTGTTAAGCGTTGTGGGGAGAAACAGTTTGCGATCCTTAGCTTGATGGGCAGTAATGGCTATTGTCATTCAGTTTCAATGTAAAAGCTCTTTAATGTCATCAATCCATATTCTCCTAGGGTGGCCTCTTGCTTTCAATTCAAATCTTTTCACGTGTAGCGCCTGCATTGGTAGTTGTTCTGGCTGTATTCTTACTAAATGACCAAACCATTTGATCTTCTGTTTCTCAATGTCCCATAACCTACCTATATCCAAACAGTATCGTTCATAACTAAAATATTTTTTAAACAATGTAACATGTGGGTATAGGTTAGTTGTGTATCCTTTACAGGACGTTGCAGAACCAACCCCAACAGCCCCTGGCTGTTGTGTGGTTTTACTAGGCAAATTTACATCCAGTAGTTTGCCATTGCTTTCTGGACGGTTGGCTTCTTTGATATCACTGTCGAAACCAACGCAAGGCGCATGGCCTGCAGCTGGGATCGAACCCGGCATTACGAAGCGTTCACATCGACTTAGCCATAGAGCCGACACATGTGGGTATAGAAAAATTAATTTCTTCTTCTGCAATCTCCTTTATAAGTTTGGTTAGCACATTGTGGGTTACCGATGACCCAACCATATGATCTCCTGTTTCGCAATGTCTCATAGCCTACCTATATCCAAACAGTAATCGTTCGTAGCTAAAATATTTTTTTTTTAAACAATTGTACAGGTAGGTATAGAGAAGTCAATTTCTTCTTCTAGGATCTCCTTTATAAGTGCAGTTAGCACATTGTTGGTTACAGCTAGGCTACAATATCTGCATCTTTTGGCTCAAGACATATGATTTGAACAAACTCCTTATTAATTGTCGGCTCTGTGGCTAAATCGATGCGAACGCTTCGTAATGCCGGGGTGCCGAGTTCGACCCCAGCTGCGGGCGATGCGCCTTGCGTTGGTTTCGACAGAGGTATTAGGGGGCCGACCGTCCAGAAAGCAATGGCAAACTACTGGACGTACATTTTGCCTAGAGAAACCAGACAACAGCCAGGGGCTGCTGGGGTTGGTTCTGCAATGTCCTGTAAAGGATGCGCAACTAACTAACCTTATTAGTCGCCTTTTACAGCATGCTTGCTAGGGGACAGTAGATCTTCCCCCCCCCCCCCCCTATAACTGGGTCCCGGAACCCACACGGGGAGACCATCAACTGATCGACTAGAAGTCCATATGAATACTTTCAATGTCCTTTTTCTCCTTCATCTGTGCTTTATCCCGCATAGAAGATTAGACCCTTAGCCTATTCATACCAATTTAGCCCCGCTGTGTGGGGAGAGGCGAGACTTTCTCTGAAAGTCTAATTTTTAAAAAGCCGGATCTGTAAAACGAATCTTCTTCTTCTTCACTTCCTCTTTTACCGCTGTGGGTGTCGAGGGAGATATTAGGTTCTGTTTCTAGCTCTTCTGGCTGCCTCGACCATAGGCACATTGTGCTGTTGTAGAGTTTCTCTGATGTTATCCTTCCATCTTGTTCTTGGTCTACCCCATGCTCTACGTCCTTCTTCTCTTTCCATGTATGCTTTGTATGGTGTGGTGTCACAAGGCATTCTCTCTAAGTGGGCAAACCATTTCACTTGCTGTCTTTGTATGTAATCCAGAATTGGTTCTGTGCCGACTTGTTCTCTTATGATCTCATTCCTGATCTTATCTCTTATGGTCACTCCTACAGCCCTTCTCAGACATCTCGTTTCCGTGGTTACTAATTTTCTTTTATGGTTTGTTGTGAGTGACCATGTCTGGCACTGGTAGCACAGAGTTGGAATAAATATGCTTTGAATAAGATGTCTCTTTGTGCTGATTGGGATTGTCTTATGCTGTAAGAGGGGGGCTAGCTGTCCCAATACTTGGTTTGCTTTACTGCATCTAATGTCAATTTCTTTATCCAATCTCCCATCTTCGGTAAATGTAGTTCCCAGATATTTAAACTCAGATGCCTGTTTAATGCCTTTGTATTCTATTGCTATGTTTAGATCTGTCTTCTTTTTTGCTATTGACATTACTTCTGTCTTTTCAGTGTTGATTCTCATATTATTTGTTTCACATTCTTCATTCATGGATGTTAGATGTTGTTGCAATTTCTCTTAACCCCCTGTAAAACGAATGACATGCAAAAATAAAATTCTGGAACAAGCTTAAAGTCCAGAAGCAGACAAACAACCAAAACTTTCTGTTGGAGTGCACAGTTGGTGAATGTTAAGAAGAAGATACCAAGTCAATGCATTCGTTCTGATCACATTCTCTTAACACTGTATTTTCAACTCATTCATCTCACTCTCTAATTCTCTTCTCCATTTGTTTTTGCTTTCTGGAATCCATTTATTTCTTTGGCTCTGTGGGTTCCTGTCCATGGACATTCCAGCTATTTATTATTAAAATGTTTGTAAGTCTTGAAAACCTCTCCTCAAAGGTTTTTAAATCTTCTTATTATTATTCTTAAAGTCCATGCCATGTGGCGTTGGTAGTCATGTCTATCCACAACCTTCTGTCTCATGAATTTTCAAACAACTCTTGACACAGATGATCTTCCATGCCATGAAATCAAACTGTCCGCATCTTTTCTCTCAGTCTCCCTCTGCCTCTACTCCCCTCCAACTTTTCTACCGTCACGGTGCAGTCCAGATTTCTTACATCACATGACCAACATTTTCTAATCAATGGGAGTTCAAACCCCTGACCACCATGCTGAGAGACAAGCTTGCTAGTCACTTCATTACTACAGCTCACAAGTGGAGCTGAGAAACATCTAATAGGAAAATAATTTTTTACCTTACAGCTTGTCTGCATTCTGTCCATGTTGTTTTATTTGGACACAGACAATTTTTCTGAGCTAATTAAAGTATAATGTTTTAGTGTATAAATCAAATGGTTTGGCCATGTAATAAGATTGGCATTAGACAGGGCACCATAAAAAGCTATTTTATACAGATACAGCGGTAACAGAGCCAAAGGTCGATCGCGCAAAACATGGACTGCAGAAAAATCAGAGACACTGAAAAGTACTTTATATGAAGTGAACAGAAGGGCCCGTTCCAGAGTTTCTGCTGCCTGGAGGTCACGAGTCATTCCATGAGAAGAGGAAACGTCTAGGCTTTCTTCTTGTAAATGCCGCTTACCCAGCATTTCTGCTATGGCCTGTCGTTGAGAAACTCAGTTAATGCTTTGGGTTCTGTCTACACCTGCGCAGTGTTTAAGAGGCCAAGATATTTATGTTTACTAAAAACAGTATTTAGGGGGAGTTCTCTTGTTATAAAAAGGTAATTAGGGACGTCTGCTTCTAAGTCGGAGTGCATGTACATGAGAGGCAAGGAAGCAAGTCTGCATACAAATAAGCCAGATCTGTAAAATGGTTGTGAACTCACAACTCAAGTTCTGGAACAAGACAACAAGCCCAGAAGTGGACAAACAGCCAGAACCTTTCACCGACATTTACAACAAGTGAAAGACCTCAAAAGAGTACTAGGCCGAAATAAATCCTGCAACTCCTGAGAATTAAACCTGGACCACTAACACAGCAGGCAAGTGACACAACTATTGCAACTCACTATAATCAAGAAGTCAGCGTGGGTGCCCGTGAACACGGGAATGTCCATTGGCACTCGAACTGAGTAAGGTTTGTTCAGACGGACTCCAAAATTTCTTTCTCCACTAAGAAGCAGCAGAATGAACACTCCAATGTGCATTAAACCAACACGAGCTGAAAAATTAGCAAATAAAATATCTTATATATATATATATATATAATCTTCACACACAAATCTTCAACATTAAATTCTTTTCCTTCTGCATTTCAAATCCCAGTGGCTGGCTGAGTGGCTAAGAATATTGAGCTCTTATTCAGGAGACCCAGGTTAGAATCCTCTATAAGCTGATGGATTTTTGTCAGGGGCCAAATATAAAATCCTAACCTGCAGTCAGTGGTGACTGCACTAGCCATGCAGCCCTAAATCCCTAAGCTTAAAGCCATTCCTCCCCTCCCCCACTCCCCACCTTTTTTTCCCAAGTCCTAGACCACCCTAAAAAGTAGTAAATCGAGACAGTAAGACAGTTTCTGGGGTTTTTTTTTCATATCCCAAAAGGGCATAGACCCTCGAACAACTCATGCCAAGCCCCTTGTAGTTATTTATGGTTGGCTACATTCTGCAAATAGTTTTCTATGGGATGAGTTATCCAGTGGGACAAATTAGCTGATGGGATGAGTTAGCCAATGGGATGAATCAGCCAGTGGGATGAGAGCCAGTCCATGGGATGAGTTGGCCAATGAGATGAGGTAGCCAAAGGGATGTCTTAGCCAATGGGATGAGTTAGCCAATCAATGGGATGAGTTGGTCAATAGGATGAGTTAGCTGATGGGATGAGTTAGCCAATTGAAGAGATGAGTTGGCCAATGGGATCAGTTAGCCAATCAATGGGATGAGTTAGCCAATGGTATGTGTTAATAAATGGGATAAGTTAGTCAGTCTCATGCCAGTCCATCTAAGTCTTTGCTTCACTAAACACACGTAGGAGTTGAACTTTATCCTCGTACAGTCCATGCTGTGTGGCCTTAGTAGTCATGTCCATCCACAACCTTCTGTCTCATGTACTTTAAAATCACTTCTGACAAAGATGATCTTCCATGCCATGATGACAAACTATCCAGCATGATCTCTCTCGGTCTCCATCTGACTCTTTTCTCCTCTAACTTTCCCCACCATTGTGATGTACTCCAGTTGTCTCCTTTTCATGATATGACCAAACAACTTAGTTTCTTTCTTATATGGGTAATAAGTTCTCCTCAAGGGTTAATTTCTTTCAAGAAATCTTCATTTATCTTTTTATCTGTCAATTATCTGTCTATTAAACTTTATAAAACATTATTTTTAGTAAACAGTGGAAGAGATTGGGATGTAATATTCACAAAGACAAGCAGTAGTGCACTTTATCCAATTTGCTTGTGCAGACCATATAGCATTTTAGAAATGAAAAAGACAATTGCAGATTCTTTTTATATTATATATCCGTATACCCATGTGGGTTCCATTGACCCGTTGTGGGGGAAACAGGAACAGACCCACTGCCTCCCCAAAAAGCATGTCATAAAAGTCAACTAACTGGGGGCTTCCTTCAAAGTTGGAGTGCATCTGCCTGAGAGGCAGGGAACCAACAATCTGCATATAGTTAAGTCAGATCTGTTAAATGGATGTCCACACAACACTCAGGTTCTTGAACAAGACTAAAGTCCAGATACCGACAAACAACCAGAACTTTCTGTCGGAGTTTACAGCAAGTGAAGGCAAAGAAGAAGAAGAAGATATATCACTGAGTCTAAAGCAATGCATGATGTGTCAATGCCTCTTTTCATTGAATCCAATCACATATTGTGTTCTCCCACTGTTAACATTTGGTCAGAGAACACTAGTGAAATCTTGAAATCTGGCTTCCTGTGTTGTTATTTCTAGTCATTGTACACATGTCTAATACAAGCTCTTGTGATTATTTACACTGGTTATTGCTCTCTTTGGAAATATATGCAAAAACTTCTGGGACTCAAAGAGTTGGGGGGGAAAATGTATTATATATAGCACATTAATGATAACTACAGCTACAGTTTCTAGTCTGTCAAAGAAAAACATGCTCTGAAATGTCAATATATTTCCACGGAGAGTGACAAACAAAGTAGGATTTTTTAGCTCTACCTATTAGCATTATTTAACCTTCAATACTAAAAAAACAGGTTTACTTACATTGATCTGCTCTTGCATCATTTAAATTGTACAGGATGGGCACAAGAATGTCTAACACATCACTGCTCTTGAGCACAAAGAACATGAATTTCTAGGGGGGGAAATCAAATAAAATAAACTATTATAAGTGTGTAAAACAACAAGATCCATAGCTGTAAGCTCTGGTTAAAAATTATGGGTTGTTCATGAACTTTTGGACTTACTTCAGAACTCAAGTTTGTATGCACATCTGTTTTAAATATTTGGCTTATTTGTAAGCAGACAGTTGGTTCCTGGCCTTTCAGGCAGATGCACTCCAAATGTGAAGGAAAGACCCCCTAAATAGTTGCCTTTTATAACATGCTTGTTAGGTGGGCAGTGGGTGGATTCTTGTTTTCCAAGGGAGATATTCTGAAGACCAAATATGAATTACTTTTGGCAGAAGACTCAAGATTAGATGAGATATCATGGGCAAGAATGTGTGAACGAGGAATTAACTGTGGATCCGGCAAGGAGGGACGGATGAGAGGAAGAGATCGGCGTGTGTATAATCAGTGTGCTAGGGGAACAGTTAACATCTCTTTTTACGTCATTTGCTGCGGGAGACGGAGCATCTATGGGTACGTCCGGTGTGCTATCATGTTGATTCTTAAATCAGTAATCAAACCACCAAAATGAGACCCTGGAACTCATAAGGGGAACACCATTAAGGTCAGATCAGTCTCCATCTGCTCAAAACAGTGTGGAGGGGAGGAGGGGGTTTAAAGGTTAAAGTCAAAAGGATCCACTTCACGCACTGGGTTTTATCCAATATGGCTCAGTCTCTCTCCACAGAAAATCTAGCAGCCTGGCAAAAACACAGCACAGAGCATGAACTCCGCAGCTCTATCAGTGATCCCCAGAGATCTCCGTAAAAACTGTTCACTCGTAAACTGAAGAGAGCAGCCCTGAAATGAACCACATCCTTCAGAGGGTGAGGCAAGTGGCTTGACCACTTTGCCATGGAGACCCCACCCCCCCCCCCCCCCCCCCCCCCCCCGTCTCTGCACATCAAAGGTAGGCCAGTATTTCCTGCCTCTTGTCATCCTGACAGTGTCTAGCTCTTGCCAGTCCAATTCTTCTTGATGCCTTTTTCCCATGGAGAATCAAGTGATGACTGTGAATCAAGAACCCTGAGCAGACTGCAAGAACAACAAATCAAAAGAGGTGAAGCCAGAGAGAGTACTATGCAGAAGGCAAAAGAACAATACCCAACCAGCAGAGAACTGCTGATGTCATGTGCTACAGGCTGAGTGATTTACCCACGAAGGGGATTCAAACACATATGGACTTAATGGTTTCAAGTGATTTGTTCCTGGTGCAATAAATCGAACTTCTGTCCATTAAAAGGTCAATTGTACAAATGTTTAGTTATCAGCAAATAATCAGAAAGCAGCCATCATATAAACTGCAGCTCGATTTCTGGAAAATACAAAAATGTTGATTGACTAAGTGTAAATTGTAAATCTTATATAATCCTTTAATTCTAACCCCCCTCCCCCCCACCCCCCCCCCCTCTTTATTTTATTAAACTTTTGTGGGGGGGGGGGTGCACAAATACTAAACATCAAGTTATTCAGGCAGACTTGGGCAGAAAGCACAGCAATGAACAAAGCAACAACAAGAATATCTGCATAACATTAGGGTTTTTTTTTTAAACAGCAACAAATAACCAAAAGGAAAAAAACTGGCAGAAATTAAAATACTGCAGACAAGGTGTTCCCATAAAAAGCCACAGCTCACAGATAGAAATTGCAAAACAAAATTACCTATAATAGCTTACTATGAATAATTAAGAAGGGACACATTGAAAGTAATTTTTTTGTTTTTTTTCATGGCAGAAACAAATGCTCTAAGCAAAGTAGGGTAATGGTGCCCCAGAAAGCTCAGAACATTTTTATAATTTAAAAAAAAAAAAAAACCTTAATACTCTACAATCAAGAATGAAGAAGTTAAGTATACAGAGCAACTGAAATCAACCCCCATCTGGATTTTTAAAAAAAAAAGCTAGCAGAAACAAATTCTTAAGAAGCAGAAAACAGAAAAAGATGTTCCAGAAACCATTGCACTTCCTTAGTTAGAATAAGGCTATACAAAATACCTACAATAACCCAGAAGTAACAAGTGGAAAAAAAAAGTAAAAATAATTTAAAGGTAAAAACCTGACAGAATTGTTATTAGTACAAGTGAAGCAAGCAACAGTGCTTTAAACACCTTCAAATCTGCAGCAGATGGAAGACATATTTGCAGCTATTTACCTTGTTAATGTCACACATCTTCCAAAAGAGAACGAGCAACTCCTGGTAGAACTGAATCCTTTTACATGAACCTGGCAAGTATGTCTGCTGGAGTGGGTTATTTAGCAGGCGAGTGATCCCTTTTAAGATAAAAGCAAAGTCCTGCAACAACAAACAAAAAAGTATGCTTGGATTCTCCTACACATACACAATACCATTGTCTCCACATGTGGGTTCCGAGGCCCCACTGAGGGAAAAAACAAGAATAGACACACTGCCTCCCCAACAAACATGCCGTAAGAGTCAACTAATTGTGGATTTCCTTCGAAGACGGAGTGAATCTGCCTGAGAGGCAAAGAACCAACAATCTGCATACAATTAAGTCAGATCTGTTTAACGGAGTTTACAGTCAGTGCATGTGAAGAAGAAGAAGACAATACCGGTATCCATTATACTTGAACTGTATAAGTTAGTAAACAACGGCCCTTTTTACCCCATCTCTGGAACATCAAGCATACAGTGCTAGACCCATATTTTTAAAATACAACACAGGTCAACTTTACTTCTCAGGATACTTTCTGGTTTCTTCTTCCTCCTCCTCCGACTTCAAAAGAAGCTCCCAATTAGTCCATTCTTACAACATGCTTTTGGGTAGGCAGTGGATCTATCTCCACCCCCCCCCCCCCCCCCCCCCCCCCCCCCCCCCCCCAATGGGACCCCGAAACCTACACGGGGATGGCTTATTTGCATGCAGACTGTTGGTTCGTTGCATCTCAGGTAGATAAACTCTAATTTTGAAGAAAACAACTCTAATTAGTCAACTCAAACAACATGCTTGTTAGAGAGGGGCAGTGGGTCTATTTCCCCCCCCCCCCCTCTCCACAATGGGGCCCAGGAACCCAAAGAGGAAATTTCCTGGTATCATGTGTCCCATACTTTTCATGAAATTTCTTGGTAGCATTTCAGAGTTTTTTTTTAAACCTTTTTGATTATTGTTATTTATACAGTTGTAAGCAATCAGCAAAAACTTAATGGAACCTCTCCTTGTTATATAGTTAATGCCGGTGGCGATGGTAGTCATGTCTATCCAAAACCATCTGTCTTGTGTACTTCCAATGAATTTTGACATTGATGATCTTCCATGCCACGTGGTTAAACTGTCCAGCATCTTCTCTCTTAGTCTGCCTTTTTTCCCTTCCAGCTTTCCCACTGTCACAGTGTACTCCAGTTTTATTCCTTCTCATGATATGACTAAAGAATGTAAACTGTCTCCTTCTGATGTGGCCAAACAGTTCTCTTTGCGAGTCAATTTCTTTCAAGACATCTTATTTACTTTTTCAATCCATCCAAGGCGTTCTCATCATTCGTCTATAAAATATATATCACTCATTATTATCCTGAGGTAGGGATGAGATACCTAGTCTTATCAATGAATTCAAAATAATGGTTCTCCTACAATGGGGAGACCAAAACGGCTATGCACCGCATACATCAAATTTAACGTCATCAACAACAAAAACTCTTATTAAATTGATAAAATGGCCTAGGGAAGACACCTAGGCTCTATTCCAGTGGATAACTTTATAATAAATCTGGGAATAAACATTTTGCCACTTCTAAAACTAAGGTTAGCTCTAGTGGATAAAGTGCATCCACCACTTTCTTGGGGAAACAGTACGTCAAGTGGCCCGAATCTCTTTCACAGTCCAACACTTTTACCTTTCCAAAAGCCAAAGGAATTATCTTTTTCTAAGCCGCCTGCCAGGAAAATCAAATCCTAGTTAGTACAGGGTTTGTAAAACTATATAGATTAATTTATTAGTCATGGAACTAGAAGAAAACAGACAAGCAAATGTCGTGGTTTTAGAAGAGATCGTGGAACTGTTGATATGATTTTCGCTGCTAGACAGCTGCAAGAGAAATGTCAAGAACAGAATTCTAACATGTTTTCCACCTTTATTGATCTTACGAAAGTGTTTGACACAGTAAATCGAGATGTACTGTGGAGGATTATGGAGAAATTTGGTTGCCCACACAAGTTCATTCAGATAGTGCATCAGTTTCATGATGGCATGCAAGCAAGAGTGCAGGATAACGGTGAACTGGCAGAGTTGGTTCTCAACCACCCACATGTTATTGCTTGTATAATCATTATTGACAATCGAGAAGAACATCATTTCATGCCAACATGAACCAAGCAAATAAGATCATCTACTTGTCCTTACAATATTAAAAGACAAGACATCTTAATGTTTCTAGACTTAATAATCAGATATAGAGAGCATGGCACAATCAGGGTACTGAACAGAAACATGGTGAGGGGACAGTATAAAATATTTCACCTGTCTTTTTTCAATTTCTTTCATCAAAGCTCTCTTCAAATTCCTTGTCTCTCTTGAACCTGCTTATTTAATCACATAAAAATGTACTAAAACTTCCTTAAGACTTAAAGAAATGGCATACATTTTGTGACGGAAACTACAATGATGATTTGTAGAATAATATGGACTGTGAGAAAGTCAAAACACTACAGAATAAACACTGCAGAAATAAATTATTGGTACCCACCTCTTCTCTGTGGATTCTTGACAAATAGTTCAAGAACAGATTGTCCGAGCCTCTGCCCTGTAAAAGACGAAAAGATTATGGAGAATCCATGCAAGTTTTACAGCATATCATTATCAACTTTTAGAAAATATTCCTCTATGGTATTAAATAATTCAAGTTAGTTGCACACTATTTATCAGGATGTGGCAGGCCAACTTCAGCTTGCATTGACTGCTGTGTGGATTTACATGACAATTTTACATTATGCAGTTTGCTATTGCTTTTCTTACCCTGAGACACTCAGGCTGTCAAATTTTCAGGTGGCAGCCAGAGGGGATAAACAACAGATACTTACAAAGTGAGCTGCAGCCCATTGTGGGGGTATAATTAATTGTAAATTTGTAAAAGTTGGAACTGGTAGGCTTGGTTAACTGTACAGTGGTAATATAAGTGGTGTTTAAAATATTTCAACTGATATTTGTTATCAATTCATTAAAAAGAACTGTGCTACGAGAAAATTCTTTGAAAAAAATTTTCATAAATAGACTTTCTGTATTACTTTCAAAACATTCCTTAGCAACTTACAATTTATCAATTCTTCACAGGTTCTTACCTAGAAGCCCAGTGAATGCAAGATATGCTGATTTTATGTCTCACTTTACTACCCCATGGTCTCTAGTGTTGAAACCCCTGGGACTGAAAGAGTTAATTAAATCTGCCTCAATAGGGATTCAAACCCGAGCCACCAGGCAAGCTTGCTAGCCATTATATGACTTGACTCCCTAGTTACAGGCACAAAATTTAAAAAATTCTGACACACATTCTGTCTCACCTCTGCAGTCTGATCCATTGCTGTCCCACCGCTTGTACCATCCACGGACACAGCCTGGGTGTTAGCTTCATTCTCCATGGTCACACAAAGCACCTGCAATGCGACTTCCACAAGTGGCTCCCGGGAATCGGTGAACATCAGATGGTTGTAGGGTACACCATATCCAACAGGGTCATATGAACATAAGCAGTTCAGAAGTGATGTGAACAGTGGAAGAGCGTGCCTGGTACAAAAACAAGAAATAATAACACATTTATAGGTGAAGATATTTGTAACAAAAGCATACAATCAAGAACATGAAAACGGCTTTGCTTAATTTGTAAAATGTGTCACTTTTTTTTTTAAATTTTACACATGGTTTAACATGTTTTCAATACCTAACCCATGTTTAACCTTATAATTGCTTTTATGTATTATATGTGTATTGAGCCAATTGCCATCATACAGGTAAATTCACCTTGAATCTTTACCTGTTTCTGTGACAACAATACAATGGCACTGCGAGGAATTACCAGGGGATCTGAGCGATGCTCAACACTCAAGGGAAGGGGGAGGCGGATATACAATCAGACAGTTTTTGGTGCCATCGGAATTGAAACTCTTCATTTGTTGTTGAAGATGGGGACAGAGCGCTTATGAGGGTGTCCAGATTGCTATGATGTTGATTCTTAATTCAACATTTAACATATTTGTAACAACAACACATAATTAAGGACTTAAAAACAGCTTTGATATAATTTGAATCATGTCTGGGTTATTCAGTGTTAAATGAAGATTTTAGCGCTGTTTAGGTTTCCAGGCTCAGGATCAGAGTAACTTCCCTTGCCATTCATGCCTTCTTAGGTCGCTGGATCTCTCCTATGTTGCGGGGGAGTAATGTTTCCTAACTGTGAACTGTTTAACCGTTGCCGCTTTTCTCATCTTCTCACTGCTTGCTTGCGTGCTTATTTTCACGTTCTACTACCTGCACAACAATTCAGGAGTATGGAAACAGTGATATATAAAAACACCCAAGTTTCGATAGACAAGAATCATCACACCTGCGGCGCTTCCCCCTGCAGTACTTCTTACTTGTACACAGGCGCCTGAGGCACCTGAAATAGATTTACAACAACACAACCTTCCCCAAACCGACGAACGCCAAACCAGACCATATCATAACAGCCCCACAACATAGGATAGGTCCAGCGACCTATGGGAGAATGAATAGCAAGGGAAGTTACTCTAATCCTGGGTCTGGAAACGTGAATAGGACCAAGTTTTTTAAACATTATTATGTTATACAATAACATGATATATATTTTAGCAGTTTTACTTTACTAACATGAAATTTGAATATAGTTTTACATGTTTTAAACATGTCACATGTGTTTTTAACATTAAGCTATTAAAGTTTCATGTGTATTCAATACATTATACATTTTTTACATGATACCTTTGTTTTTACTTTACTTATATGTGTATTTATTATTATATTGTTAACATGTTATCCACTTATATTTTTTAATTGTTATATGTGTATTCAACATGTCATATATTTTTTTAACGTTAACAGTTTTGAATTTACTTACATGTGTTTTCAACATTTTCCACATGCTTTCAACATGATACACAGGTTGTTAACATGTTGTATGTGGTTTTTAATATGCTCAACATATAACCTTCTCCTCATTGCATAAAGCCTGGGCAGTACTGAAGACACTACCTGTTGCCCATGCATCATGACCCTATGCTTGGCCTGCCTTGTTACTTCCAATGGAAAAGTAGCACCAATAAGTTTGCAACAAAGCATGCTGCAGAAGCTGCTGGATCAGAACAGCAGTGCCCTGTCTGTCCACCTATTGAGGTCTACCTTCTTGATCAGCTAACAACTGTAGGCTAAAGGCATGGTCTGCCTAGCCACAACACCTAAGTTTTTAGGTTGAATTTAATCTACCCAGGAGAAGGCGATAACTGGAATCATGAGAACTAATAGACTGAAATGGTTGGGTCATACTGAAAGAATGTCAGATGACAGAGAAGTAAAAACTTTATGCAGGAGATAGATGAATGGTCGTAGACCACGAGGCAGTTCAAGAAGACGATGGAGAGATAATATCCAGACAGACCTGCAAACACTTGGTATCACCAATTGGAAAGAGAAGACCAACCAGAGAGATAAATGGAGCCAGGTGATATCTGCAGCAATGAACCTCAAGGCTTGGAATGCTGAGGAAGAAGAAGAGGAGGAAGAAGAAGAAGAAGAAGAAGGAGAAGGTGATAAGGCTGATACAAGTTTCTCCACCCAAAGCCATTGGCACAAGGTAAAATATCAGTTTTGGTACATACCACCAAATATTTAGCATTACCAGAGAACAGGCAGTAATGGCTATTGTTATACAGAACATGTTAGCATCATACAGGTCTGTTCATCCTGTAGACCTGAAATATCCTACCTGTTTTCTGTAGATGTAAAGAACTGAATCCACTGATTGGGTAACACATGAGCATCAGCTGTAGATAATTCAGAAAAATAATACACATGTAAAGTTGTATTAAGTTAAAACAACAGCCAATCTTTTTATTTAAATGCCCTAAGTCATCATCATCAGCAATATCATCCTTTTCATAATAGTTGGGTTGTCAGTGTCCTTTGGATATTCTCTCCAGGTCAAGCTGGTGTGTTGGGGAATGAGCAGGCAGATAGGCAGGCCGGTTCTTCATCACTTGGTGGTGAACTGATGTATGACAAGCTCGATGTTGGTGAGGGCCCTTTGGGAGCAAGTGAACAGTGCGGAATCAAAAACAGATTCTTAGGAGAATGGTACTGCGGGTTGTTACCAGGGATCTGGCCAAAGCTCAACACTCAAAGGGAAGGCGAGACAATCGGAATTTGAACATTTCACTTGCTGCTGAAGATGGGGGACCGAGCGCTATGATGTAAATTCTTACCTTCTACTTTTCCTACTAACCCTTTCACACTGGGAAGCCGCAAATCCAACACTCCGAGTAGGTTCCAATTGCCCCAGAATGCCGCTCAAGTGTCATTTCCACAGTGATGTTTTCACAAGACACCTAGTTAATGCCATCAGTTGTGTTTGTGCCTGTGCAGTGAATCCTTTTTTGGAGCCAGTTTGATGTATACATTTTCCCATAAACCTCAATGACAAAAGTCATGGGAGTCACTGCATGAGGCACCTGATTCATATGTTTTTTTAGTCCGTGGAGAATACATTTGATATTTCACTCAGTTTATGTTTACTGACTACTGACTACTCCCTTCATATAAACTTATTTTAAGGGGGTATGAGAAGGAATATGTAGATAAATTAATTTTAAACAAATTTATTAGTGACCTCTTTAATATTTTTTAAGCATCAGCAGCAGCCGGCATAAACAGAAGAAGAAGAGTAGGAGGAGGAAGAAGAAGAAGAAGAAGAAGAAGAAGAAAGAAGGAAGGAGGAGGAGGAGAAGAAGAAGTCTATCCTTTGCATCTAGTTTTACAGATTACTTGACTATAAACTCACCTACAGGTGGAAGATACATGGTCTCTGAGAAGCAGGTCAGAAGCAGCTTCAGAAGCTCTGTCCTATTCTGATCATGAAACGTGCTGTGTGGAGGAGAGTGGGCAAACCCCACACCTGCCTCCCAGATGTACTCACAGCTGTCAATGGTACCCATATCCTCAGGATTGTCCTGAAGCAAAATAAATTATGGGTATTATTGTGTGCTCAGTGTTGCCAAAAAAGGACCATATCAATACCTGAAAGTCTGAATGAGTTTTGAGGTAGCTGATCGTCATCTTTGAGCATGATAGATTTCATAACAGTTGCCGCCCTCCTGACAAAAGTTTTCTGAAAGAAGCAGGGAAGAAGAAGAAGAAGACAGATGTAATTTGACCTACTAAATACGATTGGCATGCTTGATGATCTGGACCCACAGATCACTTTGCCCACTCACAAAATAATTAAATACACTTGATGAGAGGTCAACTGGATTTCTGGAAATTCTTAAGGGAATCACAAAAATAATATGAATAAATCAAGCAGCCAATTACCCCACCTCCTTTGGTGAACCCCACTTCAAGATGGAGAAGCACACATCTATTTCGACAGCAATGTAAAAGTAATGTAAATATAAGTGAGAAGAGAAAGAAACATATCCTTAATGCAAAGGCAGGGGCTTTTAAAGCAGTATCAAATCTGTGGAAGTCAAAACAAAGTGGACAAAGTGGCTAGTACCAAACTTAATTATATAAAAGAAGACAAAGGTAACACAAAAATTATATGCACAGTTTAAATAATAGCTATGCCTAACACAAATGTTATAGTAAGTAAAACAAATTAACCCATTTACATGCTATTCAAACATGGCATTAAAATGTATAGAAGGATAACATCCAGAGATGGGTGGACAGTAATCAAAGGGACAGATATAAAGGTTCCAAATTTCTGGCCAAGAGAAATATTGGTGGAAGCCAAACTTTACGGGCCGCTGAGTGAATCAAAAAAGTTCAACAGCTCCGTTTTCTTCAAAGACAGGGTAAGAGATATTTATATATACTTATTATACTTATTAAAATTATTATTATTATTTTCTTATCCTGTTTGCCTTTCGGTATTAGAATATTAAAAGAATTCTGGACCAGGGTCTGTTATATTCAATCAATCAATCAATTAGGTGCCATCTCCACAATTAAGGTTGGCTCCAATGGATCTCCAACATACTACGTCTCTCGCCTCTTATAAATGAGCTATATTGTTTTATATCGGACACACATCCAGTAGTGCTGCAATCTGACTTAAGCATTCATTACTTTCCCAGAAAAATTCCAGATTCCAATTTTATCAAACTGCATTAGCCCAGCAGCCTTACAGGCCAGGAAAATATATCACACCAAGCAAGGGTATAAGCCTCACCAATGTGCTGGCAAGGAACTGTGGTAGTTAAGTGGCTAGAACAGAGGTTCTCAACCTGCTGGTCGCAACGCTTTTTTGGGTTGAACGACCCTTTCATAGGGGTCGCCTAAGACCATCTGAAAACACATATTCATTGAAGTTATCAAGGAAAATAATTGTCTGGGGGTCGCCACAACATGAGGAACTGTATTAAAGGGTCACGGCATTAGGAAGGAAGCTTGCATACAAGCCTGAAGACCAGAGGTCTTAAATACTCTTCAATGTAGACTTTTTCAAACTGGACTTTAGCTTCCAGGTTAACCCAGCCCAAAATGAGGACCAGGTAATGTCCTGAGAAGTAAAGGCAGTCAGCATAATACTGACCACATCACCCATCAAGCGCTGAATGGTCTTTAAAAATACAGGTCTAGCACTGTATGCCCATGATGGTTTAGCAAAGGTCTTAGTTTCAAATCCGCATCAGGACATATTTTTTTTTTTATTAGCTCAGCTCCCAGGCTGACCCAGCCCAAAGTGGTTACCAGGTGAAATCCTGGGATGTAAAGGCAGCCAGCGATGATGTTGACCACATCCCCTTTTGAGTGCCGATTGATCAATGAAAATATGAGTCTAGTCTCACACGCCCGACACTAAATGCTGATGCCCCAAATGTGTGAAAAGGGTGCTTTACTTTACTAATGTGCTAAGCACATCATCATGTAGCAAGCCCTTTGCAGAACCCCGCTCTCATCACATTCTGCCTGAAAGAAACTCAGTCTCTCGCCAGCTCTCCCGCCTCATGCACTTTCATACTCCAGGAGTCACTTATATCCTGTGCACATCTTCGTGTCGGTCGGCCCCTGCCCCTCCTTCCTGGTACCATGCCTTCTGCTATTATTTTTTCCAATCCGTCGTGGCGCTTGATATCACCAAAATATTTCAGGTTCCGCGACAGGATGCTGTTTATAGCCAATCCTTCTTGGTGTTCAGATATTTCAAGACATCAGTTTTTCTCCTCTTATTTGTCCAAGATATTCTGAGAATCTTTCTATTGCATTTCAGCCCCAAAGACCCTATTCTCTTTCTTAAGGACTGGGAGACAGTCCACGACTCACATCCGTATGTTGCTGCAGGGAAGATGCATGCTCTCAAAATTCTAATTTTAAGCTCCTTGCTGGTGCTTAACCATAGACTTTTAATGCTGTGTAATTAATAATAAGCACAACACTACTTAAACAGAGAAATCCAGAAAATGAAAAACTCACAGGACCAGTTTTCCTTGATGATGCCACAGTAAATTCAGGACAGAACAGCAGATCCTGCATAAACAACAGATGGCAACCATTTTACAAACAACCATTTTATAAATAAACACTAAAATCAAAAACACAAATGTTAAACACTTTTTACAAGTATTTTTATTTATAAATTTTTTTTTTTAGTATCCAGAAGCCATGAGTTGTTAACCCTTAGGCTCGGTATTATGGATATCGCAACCTTTCGGCCTTGATTCCATTTTAAATACCGTAAATCTGGGAGAAATGTGGCTTTTCTGCCCACCCCTGGGAGTGAACTCGGACCACAAGGAGTTTGTCACCCGCTCACCGCGCAATCCGGTTAAGCCATCTACACTAGAGAGACGGGCAATTAACAACTGCTTCTTGAAACTTATTCAAAGCTTTACATAGGAACTGCCTATCAGGAGAAAAATAAACTAAGAAAAAATAAAAGTTGAAAGCTTTTTTCCCCAAAATGCTAAACACAATGTAAGCGATCAATGAAGAAACCAGACGCACTCTTGCACTAATTCACTTACACAGACACACATGTTTATATACACAGACTTTAGTAATAGTCTTCACATGTATTGACACTATAATATATACACACCTTTTTCTTGGAGTTAACCAATCTACTCCCATGGACCGCCAGATAATGCTACAACTAATTTTGGTAACCAGTGGATGTAATCTCTCATACAAAAATATCTGACATAGAGGCGCACTAAATTTGTAAATTCCCTGGTAGACATATCTAGGCAGATTTTCACACAATTTCTGGGGGATAATATAAAACAACTACAATAAATAGTGCAGTAAAAGAGCATGTTGAGAGTTACTTTCAGATAAAGAAAAATAGGATGCAGGACAGGGTAGAGGATGAAGATGAAGGTGAGGACAAGGACAATAAGGAAGATGATGACCAGAGGGAGAAGGGAAGAAGACGAGGAAGATCAAGGTAATTAGAAAGGCAATGAGGAAAAGAATGATGAGATGGAAAAGGGAAGAAGAAGAAGAGGAATATGAAGGTAAGAATAAATACAATGAGCAAAAATATGACCAAGAGGAAAAGGAAAGGAGAAGGAGAAGGGAAGAAGAAGGAGAAGGAGAAGGGAAGAAGAAGGAATAAAGAAGAAGAAAAAGCAGAAGAAGAAGAGGAGGAGGGAAAAAAAGAAAAAGGAGGAGAAGGAATAAGAAGGAAAAGAAGAAAGAAAAGGAAGAGGAGGAGGAGAAGAAGAAGAAGAAGAAGAAGAAGAAGAAGAAGAAGAAGAAGAAGAAGAAGAAGAAGAAGAAGAAGCAGAAACTCAAGAAGACTAACCTAGCAACACATGGCTGAAGTCTGAAGTGTCAGTCAAAAATTGCAATCAAACCAGTTATGCAAAAAAACTATGCAGAAAACAGGCACAATGCAACAGTCCTCTGATGAATTAAGAAGAAAAGCAGAAAATTGTGGAAAAGAATAACAGAAGGAGAAGTACTATAAAGGGAAGAGGAGGCGTGAGTAAAGGTGCAGTAGACTAAACATAATGTAAAACAAACTGATGCACATAAAGAAAACCTTTGAAACATCATAAGTTGTTTGGGACAGACAGAATTCTCTTATTTATCTGTTACATCAATCTGCATACTTACACAGACAGCTGTGATCAATGACTGTGCCAGAGGAGGTGTATCACCCTTTGAGATTAAAAGCAGAAGGAAAATGCAATGAGGAACAGATTTTCAATCTCAACAACAGTTTTTTTATTATCTCTTCATTTAGTGCATTAAAGAAAACATGCAACAAAATTTGCCTACAAATAAAATCTTCTTCTTTTGTTTGCTTAAAATAAATTATCTATACCTGCAATGATGTCTCTAGTATGAACTTCACTGTCTTTTGTAATTCACTTAGTGACCCGTAAAGTTTGGCTTCCACCAGTGTCTCTCCTGGCCAGAGGTTTTGCCTGTTGCGTTTGTGACACTCTTGGAGGTGATCTGTTGTCTCAGGTGCCAGTCCACATTTACACACGGCTGATTCACCAATCCTAAATTTTGTGTACAAGTGGCTGCAAAGTCCTGTTCTAAGGTGTAGAATAATTACTTGCTCTGGTCTGTCCATAATATGGTAATCATCTTGTGCGAGTTTTGGGGGCTTTCTGACTGATTTGATTATTCTCTTTTTCTGTTGATGAGAGATTGGTACTTCAGGTTGCTCTTCAGTTGCACTTCCTCAGCTTGTTTATCAGCTTTTTCATTTCAGGAAAAATAAAACATCAGTGACAAAATTGTAAAGATTTTTTTTTAAATTGGGCACTGGCTTTCGGAGTAGTCAGAATTTCGAGCTCTCATGCAAGATGGTGTTTAACATGATAATAAATTAAGACAGAGATGTGGAAAATAATACAAAATGGTCCTTATCACAATTACGGTCCCTGGTCCTGCCCATATACACACTTATGAATAAAGATGGCAAGATTGGACACTGTGATTGGACGGTGAGTCTCCACCTTAAGCTGTCAGTCAGTCACATCTAAGT